ACCGAAACCCAATTAGGGGCCTAGATGCTTTCAAGTGCCACCTCGCTTCTTCACTTGGATTGGACCATCATATCTAGTCATACACTTAGATGCAAGGATTAGTCCAAATAGGTTTTATCAATTATCAAAATCAAACTAGGGCTTTCAATGGTGCTGTTCATTCAATGGTGTGACTTCATCAATCTTGCGACCTACCAGCTTTTGATCAGTACCATTTTCTATCCTTTGTTATAACAGATCTGCCATCTTTTGAGCGGTTGAAAGGTCGAGATGGCAACTAGAGGGGGGGTGAATAGTCCTTTTTAAAACTTAATCGCGTCGGCTAACCGAAACAAGTGCGGAATTAAAACTATTGGTCTAGCCAAGACTACACCCCTCTATCTACGTTCTTTTACACCTTTCAAATATACTAATTAAGCAATTAAGGTGCCGGGCTAGCTAGAGCTCACCTAAGCAATTCTAGGAGCAAGGTCACACAAACCTATGCCACTAGTACTTTAAGCGACAAGGGAGCTCCTACACATGCTAGTAAGCAAAAGCACAAAGCCACCTAAGCTCACTAGCAATGCTCAATAACAAGGCAACCAATGCCAAATTAGAGAGCGCAAATACTTAGCTATACAAACTAAACAATGTGACTAACAAGGTTACTCAAACCAAATTAGCCACGCAAGGGAGCTACTTCTATGCTACACAAACAAGAATGTAACTAATATGCTACACAAGCAAACTAATTACAAGAGCAACTACACAAGCTTAATATATATGAAAGTAAATGCAAGCTTGTGTAATGGGGAAGCAAACCAACGGGAAGAACAAGGTTGACACGATGATTTTTCTCCTGAGGTTCACGTGTTTGCCAACACGCTAGTTCCCGTTGTGTCGACCGCACACTTGGTGGTTCGACGGCTAATTAGCATCACCCGCTAAGCCCGCACGTCGGGCGCCACAAGAACCTACCCCTTGAGTGAGGGTAGCTCAATGACACGCTTTACTAAAGTTGCTCTTCGCGGCTCCCGCGGGGCGAGCACAATGCCCCTCACAAAGCTCTTCTCCGGAGCCCCGCACAAGCTTCTTGCGGGCTTCGACGGAGACCACCACCAAGCCGTCTAGGAGGTGGCAACCTCCAAGAGTAACAAGCACCACCGGCTTGCAACTCGATCACCTAGTGCCACTCAATGCAACCTCACGATGCAATCGCACTAGAATCGCTCACTCACATAATCGAATGATCACTATCAAGTATATGTATGATGGAGGGCTCCCAAGCACTCACAAGCATAGACACTAAGTCCCCTCAGGTGCTCAACTCTCGCCATGGCCGAGAGCCACTTCTATTTATAGCCCCATGGACAAATAGAGCCGTTACCCCTTCACTGGGCAAATGTCGAGACGACCGGACGCTCCGGTCCGATCGACCGGACGCTGGACCTCAGCGTCCGGTCACGCGATACTCACCACGTGTCCCCTCCTTCAAACGCTGTTCTTCCGATCTCAACGGTCATCTGACGACCAGATGCAGCAACTTTAACTGACCGGACGCTGAGCCTCCAGCGTCCGGTCGTTTCCAGTAAGGTTCCAGAAACGAAATTTCACGACCGGACACGTCCGGTCGATCGCGACGGACGCAGCACCAGCGTCCGGTCACTCTCCAGCTTCTGCTTTGCCTACGTCACCATACGTCAGCTCTGACCGGACGCAGGACCCCAGCGTCCGGTCACTACGTGACCAGCGTCCGGTCCACTCTGTGAGACCCTGTCTTTTCTATCTAGGGCGCCGGTGGCACCGTCGGACTGTCCGCACTCTATGGGCAGACACTCCGCCGGTGGAGTTTCTCCTTTCGCCTTCATTTCTTCACCGAGTTGATCCACATCAACTCCAACTTCATCTTCTTTGTAAATGTGCCAACCCCACCAAGTGTACACCACCATGTGTATGTGTGTTAGCAATTTCACAATCATTTTTCAAAAGGTTAGCCACTCAACTTGCCACGCGCACTCGATCCTAGCGACGATGTAAAGTTAGATCATTCGAGTGGCACTAGATGACCGACATGCAAACAAGTTTGCCCCTCTTGATAGTACGGTCATCTATCCTAAACTCGGTCATAAACTTCTCTACACATCTATGACCGGTGAAATGAAATGCCCTAGGTTATACCTTTGCCTTGCGCATTCCATTCCATCTTCTCCAACGTCGATGCAACACATGCACCAACACGATCAACAATGATATGATCAACTTCATATCATCACGTGATCATATTGGTTCATCGATCTTGACTTCACTTGCTCTTCACCGTTGCCATCGTCCATCGGCGCCAAGTCAGGCTCAAGCTTCACCGCCACACGGTCCATCACTCCAAAGCCTCCGACTTGCCCTTCACGCTTGCAACCGATCCATCAAGCCAAGTCTTGTCTTGATCTTCTCCACCTTGATCACATGACTCAATGTCATATCTCACGTGCAATAAGCTCCTTTATCATCACATGTGTGAGCTTTGCAACATCTCAAAGCCATTTTTACCTTCATGGCATATGTTGCTCACACACATGTACCTGTGGACTAATTACCTGTGTATCTCACATAAACACAATTAGTTCTCCTAGGTTGTCACTCAATTACCAAAACTAAACAGGGACCTTTTCAGCGGTGCATGCAAAAAATTCTCCTCCTTTTTACATCCTTTGTTACAATAGAACTTTGATGCTGAAAAAAGAACTCCTGTCCCATCCGTTGTTTTTATAACAAAACTTCGGTGCCTGAAAAAAAAAATACTGCTGATTGTTGAACCCAACTATTCTTTTTATAACATAACTTCGGTGCCTAAAAAAACTCTCCTCTGCCATCCTTTGTTATAGCTGAACTTCTGATATTTGGACCTTGCCTTCACCGAATGGTATGTCCCTCCCGTTAATCATTATCAACAGACTATGGTATATTTACTCCCTCTCCTAGAATAAATGCACAACTTGCTTACCGAAAGGTCAATTTTTTCAAAGTTCGACCAAATTTATATAAAAACATATTAGCATTTATGATGTATAACAATATCAATAGATTTAGCATGAAGTATATTTTCATAATAAACTTATTTAGAGATACAAATGTTGATAATGTTTTCTATATTTCGAGTTAAACTTAAAAAAATTTGACTCCTCGAGAAGCGAGACATGCAATTATTTTGAGACTAAGTGAGTACGGAAAAAAAATTGTTCTCAGACCCATTCCTTGGTCTAGACAGAATAAATTTTGACGGTTTTTTTTTCTAGGAGTTGGATCAGAGCTTAAAAAGTTTAACTTAAGACAAATATAGAAATCTATTTATTCAACAAAGACTCTACCAATTGATAGCCCCAAGCACGAACGAATCTGGCTAAATCATAGATACTGTAGCTGCCTAGCCCTCATGATGGAACACTTGTGACATTCTAGTCTTCCTCGGAGCCGCTTGTTTGTACTACTAGTAGTTCTGGCACGATGGAAGAAACGACGAACCTTGTGCCTCCGAGCTGCTACAGTGCTACTAGTAGTTCTGGCACGATGGAAGAATCAGACACGCCCGACGTCCATGCGTATTGCATGCGGTGCAGGCCTGCATCAGAATTCCATTACATCTGCGATCAGTTTCTTGACTTTTTCGTCCCCGCGACTTTTGAAAACGTGTTTTGCCGAAGCGCACACTAGCACACCGCATGGGCTGTGAATCTGACTTTTTGTGTCGTATCAACATGGAGCTCCCGCCGCCACATCCCCATCACCGTCGCCAACGAAACGTAATTAGGCCTTTGATTTCCTTTCGCTTAACATCACCGTGATGGGACCTCAAAATTACATTAACCTGCCGTGTTGGCTGGTCCAGATATATAAAAGCAAAACATAGTCGCCTGATCGTGTCTCGTACCACCGCCTTCAAAGTCACGACTCACGAACGGCTCCGTGCTCCGCCTCGTGAACAAGGAGACGTGCGAGCCAGCAAGTTCGCCGGCGTCGACGGCAGATTGGACTCCGGGCGCCTATACCGCTCCACCACCTCAGGCAACCGCAGCAAGATTTTCGCCTTCGTCTCGAAGAGCCGCGCACCCCCCACGCGTCAAGTTCTTTGGTTTGGCTGCTGCTGCTGCTGCTGCATGAACGCATCCGGTCCAAGCTCAACCTCTACGAGAAACGTATCCCGAACTATTTCAGCAGTACTTTCAGCGATCGAAGAATGTTTTTCTCTCACAACAAATCAGCATAAGCTAAATTTCAGCGAAACCAACAGGGCCGATGACACTTGTGAACTCTGCGCTCAAGCGCCAGAAACCTACCATCACCTCGGGTCTGTTCGCTTGAAATTATCAGCTAGAATCTACAGTATTTTTCTCTCACAATAAAACTGTTTTAGCCAGCTTTAATACCAGTCGAACAGCTGAGCCCCTGTCATCCTCCATCACCGGCTTGCTATTATTCACGTGGATCTCTCACCCCTCTGGTAATATCTTTAAAAAAAAAGCGCCGCCAAGCCAAAAGCCACGGCGGAGACGGACATCCTGTTCGTTTGTTGGTTTCAGCCAGTCCAAACCAGCCAGCCAATAGTGTTTTTCTCTCACAATAAACTAGTAAGAACCAATCCAAAGCAGTCCAGAAACCCATCAGCGAGCAGGCCCGGGAGACTCGAGATTGACTGGTTGAGCAGCACTGTTGTTGCATGTGTCACTGGCTGCGCCGAGGCAGCCTAGCACGACGAGTCGCCGCCAGCTCAGCCGTTGCCCGTTGCTGCCGCACGGGCCCCGCGACCTGGACGGCTCGTCCCCTCCCCCTGTCCCCTACCTGGCCACCTGCATTTCGATACAAACAAGGCCGCCGCATCAGCAGTCATCCAACCAGCCAGCCACCCTGGTTCTCCTTCGTTAAACCCATCCCGGCACCGCGCACGCACGCCACGCCTCACCACCCCCAGCCAGCCGCCACCCTCCGCACTACCAATTCCAAGTCCAAATCTCTCGACCGGCCCGAGGATGGCGGCGCAGTTGGTGGCAGCGGCGGGCACCGCGGTGGCCAGGCCGCTGGCCGGCGGATCTGGGCCCGACGCGCCTCGTGGCGGGGCGAGGATGCCAAGGGAGAGGTGGAGCGGCGCTGTGGCCGCGAGGGGACGCCGCGAGTCCCAGGCGGTATCCGTCATAAGCCGCGCCCCGCGCCCCGAGGCCGTGGTGCTGCCGGTGTCGCCCGACGACGACGCGGCCGTAAAGGTAGCGTGACCAGCCTCCTCGTACTGATTCATTGGACTGCTGCCGCGAGCTGATGGACACTGGCCGGGGAGCTCCGCATCCCGGTGGAATGGATTTGGGACGGGGACGGGATTTTGACCGCTTCAGGTTACCGTCGGGCTGATTGGGCGTGAAGATTGTTTTTCCCTGACGGTGAAATTGGATTTGTGAGATCGTCTTCGTGCTTGTGACGGTGAATTTTGGAGGGCGGAATCGTCCAGGGATGTCATTATCACTGGGCATCAATATATATATGCGCATGAAATCAATTAAACTTTAGCGTCTAATTTGCTTTCACTATTCCATGTGCATGCATCCCTACTGAACCTTTTGACATCTAAAGCTGTTACCGTTTGTTTTTGTTAAGTAACAAGACCACACAATGTAAAGTACTAATTACAGTGCAACCCTGGTAACTTGCCATGTCCTTATAAATTGCTGCAACTTATATACTTAGTGGATCTATCATTTGTTTTCCTGTTTGCCAAAGTGGCACCAACATCGTTGAATTAGTTATGAAACCTTTGCCAAGAAGGGAGGTGTTTCCAAGTGTTGCATCTTAGTACATAGATTAGTGGTGAGGTACCTTTGGAATTCCGCCTGTATGACTTGAAATTTGAAAATCTGTTGCCAGTAATATGTTTTCTTTGACAGGAGGAAGCAAACTTCCAGCACCTTAAGGCTATCCAGCAGCTTGCAACTGCAGCAAATGGTGTGTGGTCTAAACCAAATGTAAGGCGCAAGACAAAGATCGTGTGTACAATCGGCCCTTCAACTAACACAAGGGAGATGATATGGAAACTCGCTGAGGCTGGCATGAATGTGGCTCGGCTTAATATGTCACATGGAGACCATGCATCACACCAGAATGTTATTGATCTGGTGAAGGAGTATAATGCATCACATGCTGACAATGTGATTGCTATCATGCTTGACACAAAGGTTAGTATTACTTCTTCCAGAGTATCTACATTAGATCACAAAAGAGGGATAGTTCTCATCCTTAGAGGCTACTTTCCTATGGTCTCAAAAAGAAGAAGAAAAGGAAAAAAATTAAAAAGTTGCTTTCCTGCATTATTCTTTGTTCTTTATGCCGTGTTAGCAGTTTGATTCACTATATTAGTGATAAATAGAATTAGACATTTCTTATTTTGCATTTCGTTAATCATATATTGCCTTGATTTACAATTCAGGGACCAGAAGTTCGAAGTGGAGATTTGCCTCAACCGATATTTCTGGAAATCGGGCAAGAATTCACTTTTACAATCAAAAGGGGAGTTGGGACTGATACATGTGTTAGCGTTAACTATGATGACTTTGTTAATGATGTTGAAGTTGGCGACATGCTCCTTGTAGATGGTATGCTGATATTACATTCCTTTTCTGTTAGGAAACAAGTCTCTATAACCCCCTGAACTATTAATGTTTTGGTCTACTTTAACTCCTGACCTACATAACTAGGTATTCTACTCCCTCATCTATCCAGAACCGCTTAATCTAACCCCTAGGCGGTTTCAATTTGGGGTTTTGTCTTGCTGCACAACTAGGGCCCACATGAAGAGACACTGTGGCATGTGCCCACCCGTTAGCATTTCCTTCAACCTTCGGCCATCCCTTTCCTCATGCCCCTCTGTCCAACTGGTCACCACGCACCCTCATCGATTTAACTCACCCAAGGAGCAAGTGTTGTCTCGTGTGCCATGGCTTATCGCCATGCCGTGTGCCACCACCTACAGCATTGTGAGCCGCTCCTCACGGCTTGCCGCCACTGCTGCCTCGGGTTGCTTGTGCCGTTCATTGCCGAGCTGCGCCTCCTTGAAGGATCAAGTGCCATTGGACATTCGTGTACATCGAGTGCAATTACAGTCTCTGTCTTGGCCGTTTTACACATAGACCCCCATATCATAGTGCAATAATTATGGTTTTTATGGGTGTTTTTATGAATGACCCCTAAAACCTTTTGATGCATTCAATCCAGCCAAGCCTGATGGGGTGAGTGTACGTGCGTTGTGAGCATCTACATTGTATTGTGTAATTCTAAAAAAAAAGCCTGATCGTTTTACAAAGATAACCCCATACGTTTAGCCTTTCACGAGCACTATTTACCATAAAAACTATGGTACTGATGACATGTGGGCCCTTATGTACCCAAGAGGCGAAACCACCTACAGGGAATGGTTTTGATGAGGAGAATACCTGGTTTTGTAGGTTAGGGGGTGAAGTAGACCGACAACAATAGATCAGGGGGTTATATAGACTTTTTCCTTCTCTGTTATTCTATGTTTTAACTCTCTTTCTGCCGAGTTCCACATGATTTCACAATTGTCTCTGAAACCTGAATACACAAATAGGATTAATAATCACTTTATCTAAAATAGTCCCAGTACTAAGTTTTACATGGTTGAACTTGTAAAATTATGTCAATACTTTCAGTAAAGTTCCCTAGATTTTCTCATCATAATGATATCCTTTAGTTTACTCACTTACAATCAAATGGTGCTTCCCTAGAGCTTTTGGAAATTTAATAGCACAATTTCTTCATTAAATGTGTATGAATTTTCTGACTCATTGTTTGAAACATGCTTGACTCTATTCTGTACACGAAAATTGTTAGGAGGGTGTACAACGTTACTGTGAGGGAGTAGTGCACTAAATTTAATGAGATGAAATTCACGAACATCAGTTTTCTTCTTACTTTGTTGTGCATAATTGGTTACTCCTTCAATTATGTTGGATGTCAGATATCTGTCTTAACGTCCTGTTCAGTCTTGACTCTTGTCAAATGTATCTTTGGTGATCAATGATTGTTCTTCTGTTATCAATTTTTAGGAGGAATGATGTCATTCTTGGTCAAATCAAAACTGAAGATTCTGTGAAATGTGAAGTTATTGACGGTGGTGAATTGAAATCTAGGCGCCATCTGAATGTTCGTGGAAAGAGTGCAACCTTGCCATCAATAACTGGTAATAGTTAGCAACTTTTTTCTCTGTCTACTGGATCTAATCTATATGTCCTTGTTTCATACATGTTTCAAATGTACAGACAAGGATTGGGACGACATTAAGTTTGGTGTGGATAATCAGGTCGATTACTATGCTGTTTCTTTTTTTGTGAAAGATGCTCAAGTTGTCCATGAACTCAAGGATTATCTAAGAAGTAATCTTCAATCCAACTTTGTAAAAAATCATATCATGCACCTTTTTGATAATTTATTGAGCTCATTCTATTCTATTTTATTCTCAGGTTGCAATGCTGACATACATGTAATTGTAAAATCGAAAAGTGCAGACTCCATCCCAAACCTACATTCAATCATCACAGCATCTGACGGGGTAAAATAATATCTTATCCTAATTATGCTTTGGTCTAGTGAAATGCCATCAAAAGGTTTATCTTTGCATGAATGGTCTTGAGTTGTATGGGAAATCGTGAATCATGAATATCCCTTTTAGTATCTGTTATCCTCATTCTGACTTTAGTTTAAGGGGTAGACCTATAGATTTCACTACGGACTAATTTAATATTGAACATAGGCTATGGTTGCCAGGGGTGACCTTGGAGCTGAACTGCCCATCGAGGAGGTGCCGCTGTTGCAGGTGTGATGTCGCTGATCATTATTTCTTATAAGTTATTGCACTGCAAAGCTAAAACGTACATATATATATGCCTATTCTATTGGATTATTTTGAGTTACTTTATTGTTTGTACATAGGAATATGGCCTATATGTTGCAGTCCCATTTGAAATCTGCTGTGCCTAGTGCTTACTACTATGAGCCATCAGTAAAAAAAATATCTTTTTCTTTGCCGATAAAGGTGTCTGACATTTACATCTTCCTCAAATATCATGTTCCTTCATGCAGGAAGAAATTATTAGAATGTGCAGGAGCATGGGGAAGGCTGTTATTGTCGCTACAAATATGCTGGAAAGTATGATTGTTCATCCAACTCCAACCCGAGCAGAAGTTTCAGACATTGCTATAGCTGTCCGAGAGGGTGCTGATGCAGTCATGCTTTCTGGAGAAACTGCACATGGGAAGTATGTCACATGTTTTGCTTTTTGTTCAAAAGAAATTGATGTTTTAGTTGTTAGCTAAGGGTGGCTCCAACAATTAAGCTAGCAAGCCAGCTCATAACTTGCCACATCATTACAAGCTCTCCAATAATCCAACTCTTAACACCTTACCGCTGGTCCCACATCCTTTCTTTTCCCCATCCACCCTCACGGTGCCCCCCAGTAACGGCCTCGTACTTTGTCTGAGCCTAGCTGGGAACTAAAAGGTACTCCCTCCATTCCAAATTATAAGATGTTTTGGCTTTTCTATATACGTAGTTTTTGCTATGCATTTAGATATACACTATGTCTAGATACATAACAAAAGCAATGTATCTAGAAAAGCCAAAATGTCTTATAATTTGGAACAGAGGGAGTAGCTTTTCTCTCTTCCATGTAAGCAAAATGATGAGGTGGATCTCTATGAGCTAGCTGAGATGTCATTGTTGGAGCTGCCCTCACTATATGGCCAGATATGACATTACATTTATATATATATTATCATATATGTTTTTTTGTTTTCCATGTACAATTAGTTTGTTTTAGTATGCTCTTTTGCACTGCTATATTATTATTATTATTTGGTGACTGCATTCTTCAAAAGTTCCAGATATATCATAAGTGACAGTATGAATTAATACATGAAAAATAATGTTATGGATGGAATTGCTGCCCCCTTATGTTTCCTTCTATGGAAAGGGAATTTACTGTTTAACTATATTTTCAGTGTATCAAATCAGGAATCTAACATCTATACGGCATCTATTTCTTTCCGTTTCCTTCGAAGTTTTATTGAACTAAATAACAATGGACTGCCTGGTTGGTCTCAATTATTCAAAGAATAACATACTTTATAATAGCTGCTAGAATCACATTGTTGCAAACATATATGTTAATACTTTGAGAAATTTTACAGCGCTTGGAAATAATGAGAGCAATTCGTTTGGCTAGATCAGATGGTTAAGAAAGAGGAGGACCTACTAAGAGGAACTTAAGTGGTGGGCTGGAACCAAAATTTAGTGGGCCAAGAACCAGCTCTAAATTAATTTTGAAGGGTAGAATAGTACTTTATGTGAGGGGTTTCTTCTCGCTGCTCCCTGCCCGCACAACCCCGCGAGCCACAAATGCATACTCCAACGATTCGAGATCCGTCGCCGTCTATCAGGAAGCGGCGGCAGCCAACGAATCGACGCCGCCGGTGACGATGCTCTGTCGCTGCCTGCCTAGGCTTTGCTCCTTTTGTTGATCGCCGCCGAGGGAGAGCGACAGCACATGCATGCCGTCGTGGATGGCGGCATCGAACACCATGTCCGTGTCGAAACACTCGTTGCCGTTCACGGGAGGGAAACATACGCGATAGGCCGCCACGCGCGTGCGGGGAGCCGCTGGATGCCGTGCCGTTGCCGAACCTTCAACACGGACGCGCCCGAGGCATTCAACGCGCCCGCAGCCGCCCGCGTGGCGTAGCCCCTTGACCCCTTGTTGAAGTAGCATGTGGCGTTAAATCGATCAGCTTCCTGCTTCCAGTTGCATTGGAATTTATCATCTTGGTCTTCAGCGGCCTCGCAGGCTCTTCCAATGGCATGGAACTGCCCCAGACCATCATCCTAAAGCTCTCAGATTCTGGCAATCGAGGTGCGTCGATGCAGGCGGCAGAAATACCCTAGCATTTGATCGGTCTAAATTAGAGTTAATGATGAGCTAGGTAAAAGTACTAGAGTACCCCTGATTACAATAATTATCTTTCGTTAATGATCAGCGGCTGAAATAAACCTGCTAGGAGGAACCGGAGGTTCCTCCCAAGCACTATAACAGATCTCTAATACTTTTTGTAGTTTTATAGTTAAAAAATCCATTGCCTTGTTTTGGATTGTATGCATATATTTGCAAGTCTTCTGGTGTGTTTCCTCCCCTGATATATGTTGAAGATCATGGCAGATATATGATGATAACCTTATGAGTTAATTTTGTGACAGATTTCCTTGAAAGCTGTTAAGGTCATGCACACTGTTGCCCTGAGAACTGAGGCAACTATTCCTGGTGGGGAATCACCTGCAGACCTTGGTCAGGCTTTCAAGGTTTGCCACCTTCACTTCTTCAGTCTTTTTCCATTATGCTGCTCTTCCTTTTCCGTTTTCTTACCATATCTCTTTCTGTAGAACCACATGAGCGAAATGTTCGCGTACCATGCAACAATGATGTCAAATACCCTTCGAACATCAATAGTGGTTTTCACCAGGACAGGATTTATGGCTATACTGCTTAGTCACTACCGTCCATCCGGCACTATTTTTGCCTTCACAGATGAGTAAGTTTTCTGTTCCTTTTGTGCCAGTGGGTGCTACAAGACAACTTTTATGCAATCCTTTCTATATATCCCATGATCATGACTTATCAATAAAATGTCTCCTAAGTGCGTCTTTTATTTAATTGTGCTGAAGATGGCCCTGTTGGTGAGACTGTTAAATAAAAAAAAAGGGCATACCCAGTGCAGAGAGCTCCCGCTCTGTGCGGGGTCTGGGGAAGGGTGTTAGTGGCAAGCCTTACCCTCGCTTTGTGCAATCTTGAGGAGACCGCGACTCGAACCAGGACCTTCCGGTCGAGGCGGTAAGACTCTACCGCTTGCACCAGGCCCGCCCTTCTTGGTGAGACTGTTAAATACTTAAACATAATATATGCGATGCTTAGTAATTCATTTCTGCTTCCTAATAACATAACATAATTTGTGAAATATGAGCCAATTAGGCTGCTTGTCCAACCCAACTGTTTGTTAGTAACCTTTGGAACAACCATAGCGCTTTTTAAAGTGTGAGGCATGTATTGGTTAGTGTAATTTTAGTGATGAGACCATGCACCCAAAATGATATATGTGACTTCTGGTTCACGCATAAAGATACAAATTCTAGAAACCAAAATACTGCACTGAAAATACTTCAGCACCTTTTGGGTTCTTTTAGTTATAGGCTCAAGAAAGTGAACTCTAGATCTTGGCTTTCGTGATTAATCAGTGAGGGGGCTGGAATGGAAGCCTGGAACTTACCTATGTTAAACCCCTCTACTGAATACTAAATATGAACTACAAAGATAGCCCTAAACGCTTCATCATGGAAGGAAACATTTGATGTCAGTGAACTTTTTACTATTAAACTTTTTTTTGAAAAATACATAGTCAACCAAAAATCTCGACCTCAGGATGAAGATCCCTGGTTCTGCCTTAAGAGTGGGGCTCCGGTTGGGCACTTTTACACCATGAACCGAACTGAATTGTCGGTCTATTCGGTTTTCGGTTGCGGGTTCGGTTTCTGCGTTTCACAAATTCGGTGCTCGGCTTCGGCTTCGGTTTTCTATGCAAACCGAACCGGGAAACCGTATAGACCGAAGTGAATCACGTCTGCAGAAATGCCAGAAACAGCACAGCGTCCCCAGCCACTTGACTCCTCAGGCGGAGAGCCCACCACGGCCCAACACAACAACACCCGCGCCTCATCTCCCCAACCCACCCACACGGCCCACCCCCACAGCAACTCGACTCTGCACTCGGCATCGGTGGGACTCACAGTCCGCAGATCGCACCAACACCCTGACCTGTCCAGGTGAGGCGGCGGCGGCGGCATCTCCTGGCGGCGGCGGTGGCGGTGGCGGCCGACGGTGGTGCCCGGCATGGCGGCGAGAGTGAGCAGGCAGCGCCCACTTGAGCGCGAGCAGGCGCGCGCGGCCGTGGCACGGCGGAAGCGAGTAGGGCGTGGCGGCGGCGGCGCGCGAGCAATCTGAGCAGGGCGTGAGCACGCGATGGCCGGCGTCGGCACGAGTAAGGTAGTGGCAGATTCGTTTTTTTCGGTTTAAACAGAAAAATCGAAGTAAAAAACTGACACCGTAGTTGTCGGTTTCCAGTTCTGTGGAAAACCGAACGGCTGCTGTCTCTTGGGATACCGAACTTTTAAGGAACCGAAAAACGGAATCGAATGGTCGGTTAAAACCGAATGCCCAGCCTGAAGTGGGGCTACTGAACCCTTTACAGAGGCACTCACATAATCTGTGGTCACCCAGGTGGCAACCTCTCAGCTGCAGGCTCTACCAACAGTAGTAATCTGTAAAATATCCACTGTTAGCATGCCCTAGGAAAAGAAGTGACATACACTTGTTGCAGTGACAAGGGCAACTGATCTGAAACATATCATATTTTTTTTGTTCATTTTTCTTTTACAATTCCATGCATATCTAGCAAATAATTGTTGTATTATTATAGGGAGAGAGTTAGGCAACGATTAGCTTTGTACCAAGGTGTATGTCCAATTGAAATGGAATTTTCCGATGATGCTGAGAAGACATTTGGCAACGCTTTGTCTTATTTGCTGGTAACAACTTCTACAATCTATCCTTTGCATTTTTTTGGCACCACTTTAATTATTACTGAATGTATGATTAAGGACAAGTTTAATTTGCTATACCTGTGATCTCAATTTTTTATCAAATTGTTATGTTAGCATCAGATATCCATATAATATATTAACGTCAAGAACAGCCTCACAATTGAACTTAGCATTGTAACCTTTAAAGTTGGTTTAGCAACGGTCATAACTAGGACTAACAATGCATGTTGTGGCTTTGGCACCTTGATGTTCAACATGACAACATGGTCACATCAGAAAACATGATCATTCAAGGGTAGAGAGGCCAGCCAAACCGATAATTTATAAACAAAGCGGGGATAGATATGCCAGGAGCAACAGGTGCAGCACTTTTTCCCAACCACGATTATAACATAAAACCAAGCATGAATTAACCTTGAATATCTGACAACCAAAAGGACCGTCACGCTGAGAGCACCAGCCCTGTGTCTTGTGGATAACAATTGGCTGCATGAAATTCGAAACAGCGACTTGATTATAGCTGCTGTCAGTTTACCATGAACGATTTCTAAAAAATGTTTTTGGTCCTGGAATATCTGATGGGGTCATATCACATCTTTATCTTGGCAATCTGACCAGAACACTGCAGCTATTGGTAGTAGAACGAGACAATATGAATTTACAATAAAGCAATAATGGGGTCTTAGATATCTGTATCATGTAATTTTTTGTTACCATTTGTTTAACCATGGGTCTATTGATGGATATCCTAATATGATGTCTCATTTCACAGAAACATGGTATGGTTAAGGATGGTGAGGAGGTTGCACTCGTTCAAAGTGGTAATCAGCCCATCTGGAGATCACAATCAACACACAACATTCAGGTGAGGAAGATCTGATGCGGAAGGCACATAGTATTCTGATTGTTGAGGACACCATTTCTTCTAGCAAACCGGAAGGTCTTGTTACAATAATACCCACATTGGTAGTACTAGTATTGGTGAGATAGTACTGGGCTAGTATTGTGATTCTTTTCTTGTGCACTAATGCAGTTTTCCTTCCATGTAAAAAGGCCAATCAATTTGCCGCCCGGTTTTAGCTGTAGCTTGGGAACACTGTTGGCTTCTTGTTGTTGTTTTCTTTTTATTGAGGGAAATAGGCTTCTTGTTGTAATACAGTTCGTTCCATTTGTCAATGTTAAGGACTTTCGTCTCGACAGGGACGTTTTGTCAAACAGCATGTTCGCTTATTGGTTCCAGTCAGGGCAGTCAGCCAACAGTGTTTTCCTCTCACAACAAACCAGTACTAGCCGGGCTTATTAACCCAGAAACTAATCAACGAACAGGCTGACAGACTGCAATGTAGTAGAACTAGGCATAACTTGAAACCACAAGTCCAAAGCTTAGCAATCTATTTGCAAATTGCAATGCACTTTTGCATCGTATCTTCCACGCTTTTGAAACCATCGGTCATAGGTGCGGCCTGGAGTCCTGGTCGACCTATTATTACTTGCAGGGTTACAGGCGTTGTTTATTCAGAAATCTTGGGCGATCAATAAGGTCACCAGGCTGCCACAAATAGGTTCAGCGGCTGCAAGCATGCCGTTGAGGCAAAATGGCGGGACCGCGGGAACGCACAACGGCAAAAGCTGGACGAGGAGGTCGGGTGGCCGGCGCGGCCCAACAGGTAGACGAACGAACCCGACGATCAGCCCGGAATCTTCGAGTCTAGTCAGCCTACGACACCCGGGGCGCCCCTCCCTCGCCTGCTCTTTTCTCTGCGTTCCAATCAACCGATTGTCTCCATGTACATCGTACAGTAGTTAGGCGAACACAAGTGGTATCCAAGTTTTATGCGTGCCGAACATTGCATGTATACTGACACAACATCTATTTTCTTACGCCATGTTCACTTGAACTTATCAGGCTGGCTTATCAGTCATGATATATTGTTTTTCTCTCACAACAAATCAGCTTCAGCCGGCTTATCAGCCACAAAAACCATCAGCCTCAGACATCTACAAGCTTGATCATACTCCCACCTCCCCACCTTTGATTATTTCTCTGAACGTTGTTTTGTGGCACCGTATTCGTACTGTTAGAATATTTGTTTATTGGTCTAGAACATTACGAGTTTGAACAAATTGATAATGGATGCAAATAGATATATCGGAAGTGAAACATCATCCTCTCCAATGTCATGAAGCTGCCTAATTTTTCAGCACTGTTGTCGTCGACGAGACGAGGACGGAGACAAGGCAGACGCGAAGGATTGGAGGTGGACCAAGGATGTGACGGGTGACGTACGGCTTTGCCTATGGAAACCGTTGAACGTCGTCTTGGCATATCTGACTTGTGACGGCGAGTCCCGCTCGTCGTAATCTTCAGCCGTCGACCGATGGTCATTTGAGTCTCGCCGTTGGCGTGCGAGCCTCGTCTTGGAGCGAGCACTCGCCATCCGTCCCCGGCCTGTGCGCAGCCGGCCAGCCGCACCTAGTCCTAATTAAACGAGGCTGATCCCATGGCAAATCGCATTTGCGTGGGCCGGTCAAACGGGGGAGGCAGACAGGCAGTACTGTATGGCGCAGCCGTTGGCCCTGAGCGCGCGTGAATCCAAAAGGATTCCATCATGAGCGTGCATATGATTGTCTTGTCTTGTCGATATTTTCATCTGACTGGAGCATTTTATTTTCTTGTCACCATGCTCGAATTTCCTCTTATATATAAATATATGTGAAATGCACGTTGTTTGATATTTATCTTTTTGAATTTTCCGTTGTCAGATACCGATAGTAAAGGTGACCATCTTCTCCCTCCTCTCGACTACTGCTTACCTAGGCAGTCCGTCACTGAACTTTTAAGGCACACTTACCCTCGTCCCGTTATCATTTACTTAGCTCGGCAAAATATACAATGCAAACCATCTACTAGTAGAAACATTAAAACCGATAAAAAGATTATTTCGGTTGCTCAAAAAAATCTGAAATTAGCACATCCATAGCACATATAAATCTCCTACAACTAAAAAAATAAAGTGTGGACATTTTTTGATGCGACATTTATTTTGGTTCGTCCATCTGTCCACGCCTGCGATCCCACGACATCTCCCGCATGCTGCGTCCGTTGGTGCGAAAAAAAACACGAAAAGTCTTGACCCTGATTTGCATGCGCTACAAATGCGGAAAGTCTTGACCCTGATTTGCATGCGCTACAAACACAGAAAGTCTTGACCCTAATTGCCTCAAACAAGGAAAGCGATCACCCACGTCTCATGCTCGATCATACCGCCCTCGTGCCACAAATATGAAATTTTTGACCCTGATTTGCATGCGCTACAAACACGGAAGACCATCGTCGCTGCACGATCGAACACGTCTTCTTGGTATGACTCAAGCGCGTCACTGGTCGCTGCACGGAGACGATCGTCGCGCGCCCCATTCCTCAAGCCCCTACACGATCGAGCCACCCCTACTTCTTCCTCGTCGTGTAGTGGAGAAGCAACAGCAATGGATCATCCACCGTCTGCCTACCAGTGGATGCACCTGTGGCTACATCATCGATTGCCGCAAGGTCGCCGCAAGATCACCTCCCCGTGCGATCTCCCTTCCCCGTGCGATCTCCCCTCCACGACCTGCTCCATCGTCTGGTCTGTGCGCCCGCGCCGTCATCCTCCCCGTGCGCCACGTACACTGTCGTCTCCACGACGTCGCGCCGTCGTCCTCGCCGTTCGCCCGTATCGTGCACCTGGAAACACCACCGCCTCCACGACGTCCGCGCCGTAGTCCTCGCCGTTCGCCCACGCCATGCACCCGAGCCGTCGTCCTCGGCTACCGCGCCGCTACCTCGACGCCACCTGAGTCGTGCACCCAAGCCGTCGTCTTCGCATATGTAGACCGATTGACGTCGCCCGTCCTCCATCGCTCGCCGTTCATGATGTTACACAATCGTAGTTCATGATGCTGTAGACGTTCTTGTTATATAGTTAATCATCTATTTTTCGATATTGTGTGCCTGCACATTGGATGCCATTGTTTTTTATCATAGTTAGCCCTTTGTCTGTACCAATCTCGTTTCAAGTAGCTCGAGCCTTATTTATTTACTGATAGTCTCAATTCATGAGCTTGGTGTACCAATGTTAGATACTTTACTGGTAAAATATATTAGATATTTTTCTCTTGTCAACTTTTTTTATGGCCACTGAATTTTTGGCTTGCTAATTTTTTTATTACACTGGATGGTATTCAGATGTTTAGGCCTTTGCACCTCTAGACCTCACTCGCTGATTTGGTGTTCCCGTAATAGCAACACCAAGCCAGGTCACAAAGTTATCTCTGTACTGCAAAATGTCTGTGGATTGATCTTTGTTTATTTTTGAACAATCTGATGTAGGCAGACAAGAAAAAAGAATGATGATTTCTCATTGAAGTTAAACCTTGAAAAAGAGGGATTTCTCACTGAACTTGCCCTGAATTGTTGTAATTTATTGCCATGGCTTACATTTGTAAACTCTAGAGGATGAGTCAATGGTTGGGCATTGATACACTGATGCTTGATGCAGAGCACAATCAACTGTCATGTTATTGAGCTTAATATAATGATATTGTAACTAAGGTAACTTTTTATGTCTTGACATGGCCATGTTGAGTCCAGGTTATAAATACGAAGCTCAGATAATTTTACTGGCAAAAATATAAAGATGACAAGCAGTTCAGTTTTCAGGTTATACATATAAAGCTTAAATAATTTTACTGGCAAAAATAGGAAGATGACAACCAGTTCAGTTTTCTGAGAATCAAACACTGCCTAAAGTAAGTTTACAGAGCTACATGCTATCTTGCTGCATTGTCGCAAATATATCCAGCGAGTGAATGACTGCTGGGCATTTCAGACTTGTTTAAACAGAGGTCAGTAGTCTTAGTAACGCTGCACATACGGGTGTGACATTTGTTTTAGTTTGTCCGTCTGCCCACGCCTGCGATTCCATGACATCTTAATTACTGATTGATCGTGCCATTCTCTTTGATTGAATATTGCCTGTCATGTGATAGAGGAATCACGGTAAAATAGGAAGTAGAAAATTATTGTGCTATCCATATACACATTGCATGTTTACATGCACCAGCATACATGACAACGAGCAAAAGGAAAGAGAATTAACACAGAAGGAAAGAGAATTAAGACAAAATGAACCTCTTTGCATTTCTAAGAACCTTGCCAAATCTGTCTACATTTAATTACTTCCCTTCTTTGCATTTGCAAAAGGGACAGCTTTTTCCTCCTTTCATTTGGTTTCACGCTCACGTGTTCCATCGCCCTCGCTTGCTGTTTCTTGCATGAACCATAGTCGATGTCATCTGCCTTCCATGGCTCAGCCTCCCAATCCCAAGAGAAGGTCCCTACCTTTCCCTGACTAGAGATCCGGCCTGCCAGAGGATCTCCTCGAGTCCATCGGGCAGCGTCTCGTGTCAGGCCACGACGCGGCGTCCTTCCGATCCGCTTGCTCTGCATGGCGTGCCGCCGTCCCGTTCGCGGCCTTCGGGCTGCTCCTGCTGCTCCCGTTGGACCCCGACTCAGATCGTGTCGGCTTCTACTGCGTCCCGGAGAAGAAGGTCTTGTCCAATACGCTGCCCGACGTGCGCAGCAAGGTGGCGTGCGGCTCCTCGTGTGGGTGGCGGGCGCTCATGGACGAGGCGGCGTCCGTGACGCTGCTGAATCCATTCGCCGGTGCCCATGCCCCCCGTGTTGAGCTCCCGCCAGTAGGCGAACACGTCGCGGCGGCGTCCTCATCGAAACGCGTGTCTAGGGTCCACGGCCGGTGGGTCCTCCATCCCACCAACGGCTATGGGGACGCGGATGCCGCAGGCAAAGCCATCAAGCTAGAAGACATGAGGGACGTGTTCTTCCGTGAGATCGTGCTCTCGGCGCCGCCTAACACCGCCGGCCGCGAGTGCGTGGCCATGGCCATGCTTGGGTGCTCCACGGAGGTCGCGTTCTGCCGGGTTGGAGTAGACAGCGCATGGACGCTGCTCGACATCAAACTGGAGTTCTCCGTGGGGTCCATCGTCCACTGCCAAGACAAGTTCTTGGCGATCAACTGCACTGGAGAAATCTTCGTCTGCAGCAGCAACGCCGCCGGCGCTACTCCAACCGCGACGCTGCTGCCATCGTTGTCGCCACCTGCGGGGCTCTGCCACCGCAGCTACCTGGAATCAAACAGTGAGCTGCACATTGTGGGTGTCATGGTGAGCACGTTCCACGAGACACAGAGCTTCACCTACAGCAGCACGATCTACAAGTGCAACATCCACGACCGTACGTCGGAGTGGTCCAGGGTGAGGGACATCGGTGATCAGACACTGTTCGTGTCTAAACATTTTAATGAAAGCTTTAGTAGAACAAGTATATCCAAGTATAAGGAGAACAAAATCTACATGTCTGAACCATTGTATGGAAATCCATACAACTTGGTCCATCGACTGGAGATCGTTGATATTGCTACCGGCGCATCCGAAGTGAAGCCCGTCCAAAAAGAGATGCAGGGTTCCGAGGCTCTAGGTTGGATTCGACCCAATCTCTGGAAGCTCTAGAGTTTGTGAGCCTGCGACGCCACGCACTCCGTGACCGTGTTAAATTCATAAACTTTGCTTTTTGGATTAAATGTCACTTTAACGTTGGTATTTAATTTAACAGTATTGTTATCTTATCGTACGATCTATGTGTTTTTAAGTATAAATTGTTAGTTATCCCGTAGCAACGCACGGACACGCTATCTAGTATGTACTTACGTACAAAAGTTGAGATGCAAACTCGCTTTTTTAAAAAAAAATATAAAAATAACAAAATCTCACGAATTTTACCTTTTAGTGCACATGCATATGAAATTATTATTTTTGTATGATTTTTTTTAGTTTAAGTTTGCATCTTACCTTTTCCATGTAAATACATCTTAATATGCACTATGGATATACCAAGTTTCAAATTTTTTGAATGACCAAAGTATGTTTTTAATATTGGTTTGTATGTTTTACTTAATATATAGTTGGTTTCCACTACATACTTTACCACCTATCTCTAGCATCTCCCGTGCTATATACATATTACCTCCCTTAAAAAATACTGTAATTCTAGATCTGATCTAAGTCCTAAAGTTTATATGTTTATAAAAATAATAATAACAATTATAATTTTAAATAGATATACTATAAAGTATTATTATGATCATTTTTTTAAAATGATAAAAAAATATAAAGCTACAATTACATTCTTTTTTTGAGTCTGTCTACTGTACAACCATGTGTTTTATGCAATTTCAACGCATGAATTTTTTTGCACCATAAGATTAAGATCCAACAGCCTCCACCCTTTTTCTACCTCTAGCCTTCTTCTATCTTCAGACAATTATAAAATTACAGATTCACAGATTATAGATTACATATCACAGAAAATAATTTTTTTCTATAGAAGGATAAATTATACAGCGGAGACGATGGATGTAGAGGGCGCTATCGATTGAAAATCTGTCTCCTCTTCATCGGAATCCAGCTGGCCGTTTCCTTTGCTGGGCGCACTGTCCTCCAGGCGGCTTCCCATGCCGTCCAGGCCTTCCCTGCGTACATCCTGCTGGTGCTGCGCTGCCGCGTCCAGGCCTCGCCGTGTGTTTCTTTGTGCAAAAAATTTATGTGTTTTTTCTTGCTAAAACATATGTGTGTTGTATAGCATTTCTGCTTTTTTAACAGAAAGTGAAGTCGTTTCCCACTGCTAACCCATCCTCAGGACCATCAAATTTTGAGTTGTACCTACTCATCGTCCATCCTCGCTAACACCTGCCACCAATCATCACTAGCACCATGGCTAGATTGGCCCCAGCTAGCCCTCTAAAGCTTAAGGATTAGATGGAGTCATGCCAAAGCCTGAACATCGAAACCTTATTGGAGAAACATATACTAAACTATACATCGGAGCTTGGTGGGATTGAAGAAGAGGGTGATTGGGTTAAGAATGAGGAAGATACATAGATGTGAAAGTGAGAGACACTCACGCGGTAGTTCTTTCTTTTGGAAACAAGGTACAACATTGACATTCGCATCTATGAATGTCTGTGGGAGACTAATCAAGTAGATCATGAGATTGACGAGGTTGACGACGAGCACATCACCTATTATTAATAAATAATCAGCAAGCTGGTGATGAGACGTACATGATGTCAAACATGAGCTTTGATACTTGATGGAGCACCCCTTTTCTAAACGACCCAAACAAAACCTGTTAATTCCGATAGGTTTTCTTTTTAATCACGGATTGGTTGTCAGAAAAATGGTGTATGCGTAACGTCAGAGATCATTTAGTTTCTATGTTTCTTATTGAGTCTGTCTAGGCAATAACTATGTGTTTTGGAAGATTTGAGAGTGTTTGTTTCTTTGCGAGTTAGACGTGCAGTTTTATTATTTGGAAAATAGTCTTTTCAGCCTTTTAAGAAATAAGAGACATACTGGTTTGTTATAGGAACCGCTGGATATACCAGCTTGAAATACAACGCACTAGACGTGTTGCTTTTGGTTTTCCGGGTAATACAATCTTTGATGAAAGAGCAGCTCTTGCTCATGGTTCAGAAAACGAGAGTGTAATTTGTGGTGGGGACGGAGCAAAAGCACACCACACATTTGAGGCAAAAAGTTATGGCGACTGTTTCTTCCAACTTTGGCGAGCCTTACTTTGATAATGAACCAAACACCACCCATATCACGTGTGGCGAGCCTAACATTAGTGGTGGCGAGTTGTGGCGGGCAACAAACATATCCTTGTTTGGTTAAGCATTGGCGCGTCTTGTTCTGGTCAAACGAACAGGACAGAGAGAGAATAGCTGACATGTTCAATGCTGCCAGAAATGCCTGTGTTGTGGACTTGTGGTCATTTTGTACTTTTGACCGGCAAGTCAAGTTTTATTCATTGGGTATATAGAGCACAAACTTATCGTAGAATTTGTGTGGTATTAGGTACTCGCCACTGTAGTGTGTATAGCAGATGCATCTTTGTGCCCTGATGATCCGCTCTTATTGTATCTAGTCCGATAACTTGACGAATGAAATGCCACTGTATCTGTATGGCTACCTGTGCTGTAGCCTGAAGCTTCGTTTGCTCAGACGCTGCCCTTCACCTGGCCGCTGTAGTTGTTCTGCACGTCGTAGAAGCGGTTCCACACCATGATGCCGCCGTACTTGCCAACGCCCTGGATGGCGGGGATCACCGTGCCCGTCAGCGTGCCGGGGTCGATGTACCCGCTGCCCGCGGCCTGGGTCGACGCTGGCACGCCGAGGTAGAAGCTCCCCGCCGTGACGCTGCTGGTCCACGTGCTCCAGGCGTTCACCAGGTTGGTGTCGTCGCCGTTGGCGTATGCGCACCCGGGGTTGTTGTAGAACTGGATCCACACGTTGTCGAACTGCCCCGTCTGCAGCGCCGGCGCCAGCGATGCGTCCGGGTAGGGGCACTGCGGCGCCGCCGACAGCAGCACGCTCCCCTTGCCCTTGAGCGCGTTCGCCAGGTCGTCGTAGTGCGCCGACTGCCCGTTCTCGATGTCGAAGTCGACGCCGTCGAGCACGGCGGCGCCGAGCGGGCGGGTCGAGCCGTCGCTGCCGCCCAGGTAGCTGTTCCACAGGTAGTCGGCCACGCTGTTGGCGTCGTCGGTGGAGGAGAGGCCGTAGCTGCCGGTGGCGCCGCCGATGGAGAGGAGCACCCTGATGCCCTGGGACTGGCAGGTCTGGATGTCGCTGCTCAGGCCGGTGCAGCTGCCGGAGCCCGGGTCACAGTGCCCGGCGAGGTTCAGGACCGGGGTCTGTCCGTTGCCGAAGGTTGTGAGGAACGCGAGGATGACGTAGGCGTAGAGCCCGGAGTTGCAGGTGTCCGCCAGGGTGCCTTCGTTGCCGTTCTGGCCCCAGTACACGGCGATATTGCCAGCATTGGTGGTGCCAACCATGGCAGCAACGAGGAGAAGGGCCGCCAGAACAGGAGCACACTTGAGATTAGCCGCCATGTTAGTTGCTTAGTGGTCTCGCTCGATGATGAGACGAGAGTAAGCTTGAGCTGGTTCAGACAGAACTACTATGTGTAGTACTCCTACTTGCTTTGGCTTGGTGCCTTGGTGGTGAAGTAGTGGTAGCATGGAACCCTTTATATAGGCGTGGATGGTTGAATCGTTCCAAGGAGATAGGCATGGCCCTCTTGGAAGATTTGAGCATTCACAATTGACTTGCTGCTAGACTTGTAGTAATTCAGATGTACTCTGTGGAAAATCGTAATTGTTGGGCCTGTCATCTTTTTTCTTTGATAAGGGGGCAAGTACATCTTGACGAGAGGTTACATCTTTCAGATTTCACAAGTTCAATTCTAAAGCGCGTCTTTAGTCTGGACGTGTATATATACTACTCTAAATATCCAATCCACGAGATTTGTAGGCCAGACTGTATCTAGCGGTTTATTTTCATCTAATTATCTAGACACATCAAACATGTATACTGAGCATCTTCGAGCTCCTTAAAATAACTTGCTAATTCTTTTTTTTTTTTGCAAAAAGAAAAAAAAGTCATCCAACCGTTATTTAAACTCCCTAAATACAAATATTTGGTAAATCTCTCCCTAAACTCTCGTATATATGCTTGTATTCCGCGCTTACTATCAGCACTTTGGCACGGGTTTTCTCTCTGCGTTTAGTTTTTTATAAGGATCAACTCGTAGAAGGGTATGTGACGGTGGATTGGATATAAAAATAAAACCACTCGCTCGGAGAGCACTCAATAAGGTCAATTAGCACAAGAGATTACCCAATAAATTTCTTCTCAATATTAACTCCCCTTCAAATGATAGATCACATAGATTATTTATATTAGAAACATCCCTCCTAGCTGGGTGTAAATATAAGCGTAATTAAAAGAAAATGGAAGGTCATTTTAGTGAGGTATTTTATGAGTCTTTTTCTGTTCTCATGCAGCCATCAACAACCGGTGCATCTTCCACTAAACGGGTCATAAATCCTAGATCGGATTTCGAAAAGATGCACCCTTTATTGCTTCATTGAAAATGTACGTGACTCTACATAATTAATGTTATAATTTCAAAATTGATGCCAACGAGCCATGAATTATAACATTAATTCTGCACGTTTCTCGTGATCTTATTAGGGCAAGTATAATAACAGACTGTAGGTAGGCTGGATGGTGATGTAGAGGAAAGAGAAGAGAGAGAAGGAAAACTGGCTATGAGTTTACATAGCAGCTTATGCACAAGAACCAAGAAACTTTGTGAGAGAAGAAAATGAGACCATATATTAATTCTTCCTCATTTGTTTTCTTTCTCTAGAAATCAAAATGTTCAGTCAGTTACCTCCCTGGAGCAAGCACCTGGATAGAATTTCCAGCTCTCCCCTTTCTAGTGCTAGGTAGCAGAGCAATTGTCAGAGCCAAAAAGAACTATTAGAGGCCAGAAATTGGATGAAGAGGCCACATAGCTGGACATATACAATACCATCAGGAAATGAGAGTCGCAGCCAGGTTAGTGGGCCACTTCAAACAAAGCAGCCTAAATTCGCATCAACGTAGTCGAGAGTTTTTCGTTCTTTGTTCTGATGAATTTTTCACCGTGAACTAATCGCCGTGCCTTCCGCAAAGGTTAGGGGTGTGGACCCTCTCGGGTTAACGCTAAAGAAGACACAATCTTTCTATTAAAGGCCAGACTCATCTAGCGCCGCGCGAGGCCGGTGGGAGCGCGGCCGGGCAACATGGGGGCCAACTAGGCGGCTCAACATCGGCAAAACTTTTTGGGACAGTAGCTAA